CCTGACATTTGAGGACTTTCACCCTTTGCATAAAATGTGACAAGCTGGGATATCCTTCACAGTCCTTTAACTATCAGTTCTTGGAGAAGTGTTCAGCACCCAACCTCTTTTCATTCCTGACAGTGGCTTCTACATTCTCATCACTTAGAGGAAAAAACGTTGCCTTTAATAGAACTGGGTTTCCTGCTATTTTTACCAAAAAAAAAAAAAAGTTAGAAGTTGTGTACAGAAACAAATGAATGTTACAGAGAACACTGATTGGAGATTACAACATAAGATGTTTCTGGATAACATCTAGCACGTTTCCTTTTTAAGCTTAATAGCAGCAGTCTTTTCTATAACTGGTTTCTCAGTTCTCACACAGGCTTTCCAGGTGTGCTGTCACATTCATTGTTCTCAATCTATTCTTGTTCAGCAATATCCTTTTGAAGCAACATCAGTCATACGCACACTATCCAAGTGAGGCTGTACTATATATTTACAGGAAAAAGGCGTTGCAGTATTCTCCATATTGCTCACTGTTCCCATTCCCCATCATAAAATCTTGCTTTGTAGATGGAGGGACAGGTGTTTTTGGAGAGAGAGGGTTTTGTTTGGTTTTCCCCCTGCAACATCTCTTTTTGATACGATACAATTCATTCAAAGCTCTGTAAGGCAACATGGCTATTTAAATGCTACATTCCACAGTACTTCACATTTTTATTGGCAAGGAGTTTCATGTGTCATCACGTTACCCTTTTACCAAACGTGTTTATTTTTCTCTGAATACTCCTACAGAGCAGACTAGTACTGATCTCTGCAATGTAAACCCAGAAAACAATGTATTAAATAATTCTCATCATGCTCATTCCATGATGAAACTAATGTGAAAATATAATAAATATTCAGTGCAAGAGCCAGTCAAGGAAAATCACTAGAATTCCAGGCTCACGTGCTTAATCCTATAACTTAGACTTCCCGTCTGCTTATTTATACAAGCTTACCATGTAAATAATTTTATTTGCTCTTTGTAATTGGAATATAAATCTATGTCTGAGCTCTAGAACTGCACTTCAAAAGCAACAGTTCATATTAAGAGGAAAAAAAATACTATAATATCTCTAAGTAGACCAGCTGACTGATATTTGTAAGATTACAGGTATTTGAGGCAAGCTTACGAAAAAGCACTCTTTCCCTTTCATTTGGTCTGTCCTGAATGCATTTTGTATATTGTGTTTTACTTTCCTACCTTACAGCTTCTGCATTCACACAGTCCCGTCAAACTCCAAACTCTTCCTTAAAATTTTATTTCTATTGGCATGTTCAAGAAATTCCAGCCTCCAGATTCTGCTCCACACTTACTGCGACCAAAGAATTTGTATTGAAACACGAGCTGGAAGAATGCCTTTGCTAAAAAGAAAGGGTCTGCCAAGAATATTGGATCTTGTGTTCCTCTGATAAACAATCTACAGTGCCTGAATTTCATTTGAAAAAGAGATTGAAAGTGCTGCTTATAGCAATACATTAAGACAACGAAGTGCTCTTAAGACAACAAACTACTCACATCTACCAACATTCAATGGGTTTCTACAAAAACAGTACTGAATACTTTCAGTTCCATCTTCTCATAAGTGGGCACTCCTCTCCCCCTTCCCCAGTAACACAAAACTAACACTGAATTTTCTTGTGTCAGTATGACCTCAGATAACACAGAGGCGGGATCCTGGTTTTGTGTCCACATTCATACACAACTCTGATGAGGCTGTAAGTGCCAGGCCACATTCATCAGCAGGACATGGGCTTGCCTAAGCCATTTAGATTGCCTAAAGCATCTTTCCATGTTGGCACCTAAACCTCAGGCCCAGTGCAGGTAGGTGCGTTTGGCTGCCTTTCCTTCTGCAAGAACAAGAAAAGGGCAGGTCCCACCCATGTGAGCCGGATAGAGTCCGCCCACATGCTGTCCGACTGCATTGTGCTGCCAAAGTCTCCAAAACAAGAAAACACTTCAGCGATTTGAATTAATTACTCACGATGAGAGTTCTTCATGAGAATGGGATTCCTTCTAAGACTGGTAAATACAGCACTTCTGAAAGAACTACACCAAAGCAAAGAATTTGAAACAGAAGAACAAGGATACAGAAATAAGAAAAATTAACACTGTTTATGATGCCTTATACTTCATGGGTAGAGAAAATGGGAAAGCTGACTGATGCAACCTAAGAGTCATTATTCAAGATGTAATGAACACAGATGAACACCCTAATATCTGCAGACGTGCCTTTGGGAAAGTAATTTTAAACCAAAGTGGATCCTACAGAGACGGCACCCTCAGCTCTGGCCACAGAGCTTCCTCCCAATGTGAGCAGACCTCAGCAGGCGTCACACAGCTTTAGAACTCCCTCTGGATAGTAGCACAGCAAGAAGTGTCTGTGGGCTGTTATTTGGGAAGACAGCAATTTTGAATTACAAAGTGAGTTGTAAAGACATGCAGATCTCTACAATCTACGAAATGTAGTCCTTTGGGCGGTCCCAGAGAGCAAGACAAATGAGGATAAACAAATACCAGTTTCAGAGGTAACAACTCAAGTATGGAAAGTAAAAATAAAGTGTTAAGAATAAGAAAAGTACAATAGATGAATACAGATATATGTAGGGCAGGCAGGGTAACAGCAAGAAGCAATAAGGAAGTTTACAAATCTCAGTAGGTCAACCACGGTCAAGTTTTTGTATGCGTGACAAAAAAGACATTTCAGAGAACGTTCCAGAGGAGATAAATGAGTTAGCATTAAAGATGCTTGTGTCCAGGACATGCAGCTTATGTCTGAGATGACACAGATGGAGGCAAACGTAGGCTGATTCCCTATCAAATGTGAAGCAACAAAGCCCTTTGGTAGCAGCATTCTGAAGGGATGCAAAATAGGCCAGATTACAGTCGCAAAAGCCAAGGAAATGATGTTGCAATAACAGAGATGCAAACTCAGTGACAGCTTTGATGAAAGCTCAGCGGTATGAACGGACAGGAAAAGCTGTTGTGCAGACAGAATTAGCAAGATTTTGCTAGGCTGGATGGGAGGTCAGAGGAAGAACTGTGAGCTGAGGGGAACACCCAGATTACTCATTCAAACGACAAAGCCACACAGCAACTGGAAGAGGGAGCCATGGGAGCCCTCCAACAGATAAACAGTGCCAGGCTAGCAATGGTTTGTTAAAGCAAGACATTGATGAGGAGATGTCAGAGATGCACTGAAATTGGAGGTTGGAAAAGCATCTACAATGCTTTTCACTTGACTTTAGGAATTCCATGCAGTACTTAGATTTGACTAGACAACCCTTTCATAATTCCTGAAAGGCTGGGCTTTACATTGTCAACCAAAGACTGAAATAATCAGTACTTTTATTCTGTTGGAGCTACGTTACTTGCCACAGATTACTTCAGCAAATTTCCACACCTCAGTTCACTTCCCGCTAGGTTACCTATCAGCTTAGACTAGTGGTTGCCCCTGAGCGTGTTTCCAGCGACAAAGTCTCTACCACCTGCCTTTTCATACTTCTCTCAATGCTCCAATTACTCCCACGAACACAAGCTCTGCTTTTCATGATGCTTGCACGTTTCGATAGCTAGCACCAAGGGCTGAAACTTCTGCTGGATCCAGCAATAGGAATCTGAAAGACTGAATGGCAACACAGAACTCTGTCTTCTGCATTTCTGTCTTCATCCCCATTGCTTTAAATATCACCCGTGTGTGTCAAGTAAACATTCAGTTATTTCCCTAAATGCTTACGTTTTCCTGCAACTGATCACACACCGAGTTAAAAGCCTTGTCAGTCCTTGCTTTTTAACAAGCTTGCCGATAAAAGAACACAATCACAGACAAAACCACAGACACAGACACTACTCAACAACATTCCATTGTGCCACAAATGAGAGATGCCCAGAGATCTACCTCGCCCTGCCCTGCTCCTGTCACAGTTCCCGTTTCACGAGCACACATGCACACAGACAGCAGGCAGACAACAATATACAAAGATAATGAATGGGTCTCTAGTGTTTCAGATTTACCTACAACCGTGTCCTTCCATCAGAACTTTAAGAGTGTTTTGCTTCTGGCACTAGCATTAGCAATCCCACAATAAAGACTGTTAAGAAAAATGTTGCTCAACATTAGAGATAGTTAGAAACAGAGTTAGAAAAATCTGGGTGCTTCCCAGGAGCGCTCTGCAAATTACGCATGAACTAGTAGATATTTCACAAACTGTGCATCACAGATCTGCTGCCAAGGGGTTACGCAAGTCTGTGACCAAAAATAAATAAAACAAAATGCAAAATGAGTCTCCTGATGAAAAGAAGAATGTATACATCTAGTATATCACAGACGCAAAGTGAATTTGAAATAAAGGACATGCAATATGGAATGTGTACATTTGGGGGGGGCTAGAGAGGGGAGAGGGTTAAATGCAGATAAACATCTTACTGGTGAAAATAACATTTGAATTTAATTTTATACTCAAACTATCCGGTTCACAGTCTGTTCGTTTCTACTGTGGGAAAATGGGAACAAGAAAAAAAAGTCCCACTGAGGATGCTCTGTGCTTTCCCTACTTTTCCTTATTTTTTTTTACTATAAAAGCCTGTGATGACCTAAAGAAAATAACAAAACAAAACTGCGCCCACTGTTTTCATTTAGCTTTCCCTTGGGTCTCAAAACTGCATCTGTTCCATGTGCACTGAATTCAGCAGGAATACAGTGTACAAGATGACCAAAACACCAGAGTGTGCAGTGAGGGACACCAATATATAGAAGTAAATCAAAAGAAAAAAGCATTTAAAATGTGAACACATATGACTTGAAGCTACAACTTCCTAGAGTTACCTTCTCTTTCAACATTTCTAGTCTGATTCTTTTCTAGACTACTTTTATACAGTTTATCCTCATTCTAATGGTCCCAAATACCATTTTATCATTTACCTTATCATCTAGGACTTTAAAGGGGGCATTTTTACATTCACCCTGTAACCTTACCTTGTAGGCAGCTTGTCTCATAAACTGCTTTGCAGGCTGCTTCCAAATAGCAGGCACTGTAATGACCCATCTTACTTCAGTGTTTTCAAAATCAGAGCCTGCTTGGTCACTGAGCTCCTAAATAAAAGAAAAAAGATGTGAATACAAAATGATGTGTGGCAACTTCATAAGGAAATATTTTATGCTGGCTCTGGTAACAAAAACTTTCTCTTCTGATTTTTTTTTCCTGGTATGCTGCTACACCTATGCTATAAATCTAAACATTTAAATTACTGCCAACCTGTCGAGAATGCCTTACCATGCCAAAAGCCAGGATTGGGGTTGACACCTTCTTAAGGAGGCATATAGAAAAGGTTACTGCTTAACATGAAGTAGAAAAGTCAGTTTTTCCAAAAGCAGCTGAGGTACTGCTGAATATTATGGAATGTTTATATACGTTCTTAAGTCATAGTGTGGGATTTGCTGTTAGCCTGAAGAATTCACGCTTACATCTTGATTAATACACAGAAAAATATTTGAGGTATTGTTGAGCATTATGTTTTACAATCTGGATTTTTCAATGCCTTCTTTATACATCACTCACCTTTAAATCGAACTTTTACATCTCAGTTAACAGGGGAAATTACAGTTGAAGCCTTAAAAAAACGGACTGGTTGCTCCTTGAAAATTTTGCATTAAGCAAGCATTCAAGAGTAGTTTAGTTCTTTTATTGTCCTTTTTTCCCCCCTTAAAAAGAGGGAAGTCTGTACTGCATTTGCAAATTAGGTGATATACTGACATGTTTTGGGAAAGGTTCCAAGTAAAATGTCATTACCATATGTCCTATCTAAATCTCCATCCAAACAGGGAAAGGTTCATAAAGGTGAACAACGGGCCTTTAGAATGTAAAATATGTTTCTGCGTGTGCCGTGCCAAGGTGTTGTGTTTGCTTAGCTATGCTGCAGCTGAAAAATCCACGGTAGAAAAGTAGTACCTTTATACCACACAGGGCACCAGGAACGGACAGATTACAGTCCAGAGGAACATTCACACTGCTTGTCTGATTAGTTTCAGCATGCACTCACAAGTCACAGGGAGGTGTTTTTTAACATCATAAAAGGATGCAGCCCAGAACAGGCAGCACAGCATCCACAGTCACTAAGAATTTCCCCAGGCAATGAATGCACAGGTACAAGTCTGTGACTCAACGTTCAATGCAAGAATCCATCGCATACAGTCCTGGACAAGTAAGAATTTGGAGTTGTAATGATACGGTAATTCCTATGCAACCATAAAGAACAGATTGATATTTTGCAGCAAATAAATTAATCCCATTCAGAAAAGTAGGTTAGCTTTACATCAACAAGGCTTGCTTGATTATGGCTTGGCATAGCAACTGCTATACGTTGGCAATATAATGGTGCATCTGAAACTAATGTGCACTTAATTCTCATCTGACTGTCTACGTGAAACCTTAAATATACAAACTGCTTAGTGGAGACATGTATTTCACAAGAGAGGAACAAATAAATATAATCTTGTGACCCAATAATAATATTAAAAGGTATGAGCATTATAACATTTCAAATTGGAAATAGAAAACAAAATGCATTCGCCCTACAAAAAACAGACACAGTAGTTAAAAATAAAAAGATGGTGTAAATAGAGGCAGTACATCAGAACACGGTATAGATTTACAAATTAAAGCTCTAACAAATGTCTGTCTTACTTTTAGGTTCTCCCTAGTGCTTGTTAGATTTTCTGTACAGATTTGCATTCAGGATGAGAGCAACCAACTGACATTTTGCAGCGTAACATGAAATTAATCCCTGCAAAGAGTCAGCACATGGCTGCAACACCATAAACCACCTGTGGCTCTTTGGCACACGCAATGCAATTTAGCTGCGTGGAACAGAATAAAGTGTTGTGCAGAGGTACCCGAGATGGTTGGATAACAAATGCTATGGATCTGCACTAATGCAAAATTCCGCACAGGCTAAAATACTCTGTTGCTCTGTCAATTCAAGTAGCCTACACAGATCATTGCACTAACATAATTACACTGTTTCCACCGTGTTAGCCAGTTTGTACACCTCAGTAAGTCATCACTGTACAAATGTACAATGAGATTTGAGTCACCCAATTGTACATCAGCTCTTAATAATCTTTCTGTAACAAAATAAACCCAGATCATCCAGCGTCCCTGTGGTCACTGAAGATGATGTCAGATTGGGACAGCAGAGATTGGTAGATGCCCCCTCTGTTGTGTTTCACAGTGCTGACTCTTTACCATGAGAGAGAACCTCAAGTGAACACAGAACACTGAATAGTTCCAGTGGCTGCAGTGTGAGGGGCAAGGCCAGAATCCAGCCTAAACTTTAATTCTTGGCAAGTTAAATATGCAGACTGCGTGAAATGCTGAAGTTCAGCTCCTACACTTTCAAAGTTTTCTTTTCGAATCAACATTTTTCATGAGAAAGAAAGCAAACAAAATATTTATCCCAGTAAGAAAATATTCAGAACTGCATCACAGTGATACGCTTACTATTATTGAATCATGCTTCCCCTGTGCAAGGGGAAAGCAGGGCAGGCTATTGTGAGCTCCACAGAGTCCACAGACTGCCGAGAGTTTCTACAGCTGTCTTGCTTTGTTTACATCGAATACCACTGAGGTCAAAGCTCAGCAAGGTTAGAAATGTTAGGTTCACGTTTATGCTGGTTATAAATATAGAGAATCTAGATAAGGAAGCATTATTCTACCTTTAATGCCTGTTCCTTAAAGAATTGCAGGGCGTAAGCAAATATCTCAAGTGCTTTGACTTTTTTGCCATTTGCAGCTGTCAGGTCTGTCTCCATGGTAAGGTTCTACATGAAAGAAAATAACTGGAAGTTATTCAGAGGAAAAGATAAACATAAAATTAATTCCCAGTGCTTGAGGAAAGGGAATTCTTCTTTATCCACCTGGCTAGGAAAAAGTGACAAAACTGTTCTGAAGAGGATCTAACTCATCACTTGAATTTCCTGGAGCATGACATTTAGTGTTTATTTTAGATTTTGTTTTTAAACACCTACCATGTCTACAAAGAACTGCAGGCAGAGAGAGCAATACAGAGCAAAATATTAAGTAATTACAATAAAATATATCTGTAATTAATTGCAACAAAGCTGCATATGCAAGATATTTAATCCAAGTTAAAAGTTAAAAGCATAGATTTTTGACTTCCCACGAACACATGAAACCAGAAAATACCTCAATACAGAAAGTACTGGCCAAGACCCAAACTCTACAACAGTTTAGTTGAAAGACCTAAATATAATCAGTAGAATAATGTAAAATTAACTATATGATTTCCACTTGAAGTTACTACAAAGAACTCTGGACAAATCTGTTCCTTTGCACAAGAGTTCATTATGGCTTTTATATTCTATTTCTGCTCTTTGAATAAATTTTACAGAACAAACTGACCTCTTGCAGACTCCCTACAAGGCCATCAGTTTCACCCAAGAAAATTAGGCCTTAAAGATTTAAGCAAAGCAGATATTGAGCTTCTAAGATCTAGAAAGAATACAGGCAAAATGCACTTGCCAAACACAGCAAGAAGCAAAATGACTCAGAATAAGTTAACTGAATAGTTTCATTTACTTTATTCACTCTCTAAACTTAGAAATAGATCTCCTTCATATCCAGTTCACAGTCTTAAGGCAAAATCTAGCACTCTGCATAGGAAGATGATGTGAGCAGCGAATGCAGAATTATCCAAGAGCGTTACTTATTACTTACACCTGTGGTATGTAGCTTCATCTTAAACTTCTCGAAATACAACCAGTGCTTTGACTCATTGGGATCCAAGTCGTGGTAGAAATCTCTCGCTGCATACCCAAAGCTATGAAACTTTCTTTCTGGTGTTAAGAGGATAGTAGTTGGTGTCTTCTGGTTGGATACACCTGGATCCCCACCTTCCCATCGTCTATCCAACAAGAGAAACAGCTTCAGTAAATGACACTAACACTTAGAGTAGCAAAAACTTAATATTGTTAGAAAACAACCTGGTAGCAGATTGCACACACAGTTTTCACCTCAAATATATTAATATTAAATTCAATCCTTAAAATACCAAAAACAAGTGGTTTTATTCACATTCAGTAAAAGAGGACTGCAAATTTTGTTTCAGAGAATTCAATACTTTTTACCATTTTGCAGTTAGTTGTAGTTTTTAAGGATATAATTATAGTATGTCTTTGATAAGAATACAGGTTTCCTAGAGTAAGCCACACAGCTAAGAAGGGAACAGCGCTATACTTACATTTTCAAACTGAACATACATATGCAATAAACACTATATGGAAAAATCCGCAGATGTTGAGCTCTCATTGTTGTTCTCTCTACTTAGCTGAAGTTGATGGAATTTGTTTTTAAAATGTCTAAATGGTAGTAAAAAGTTTAGAAAAAAATGCCTGTCAAAATTAAAACAGACTCCCTCAACCCCTAAATATATTACAGGCACCAAAAATTTTCCCTCACTACTACCCATTAAAACAACAGCTATACCTATCCTATCTTATGAAGATCACAAAGGCATTTTTGGGAAGACCTGATAAGTACAAAGGTATTTCGGGGAAGATCTGATAAGTAAAAAGGTATGACAATGAAAGGAACACAACGCTAGTTTCACAGACTGGATAAGGAAATTATAAGGACAGCGAACATGGGAAGACCCTCCATACTTTGCATTAAATGAAGCAGGAATTTGGGGGTGGGGGAGTGAATAGGTCATACAATAAAAACCTGTACCACAGAGCTGTGAGCATTCTGATTTTCTCCTGGCTTCTCCATCACAAAAAAAAAAGCAGAATGGAAGAACAAGAAACTCATGTTACTGCTCCCCTCACCCCATATACAAATACTTTCAGCATGGGAAACAAACACTTACCAGACAAGATTTTCTTTAAAAAGCACCAGTGGAAAATCTACTTTATGCTATCAGCCATAATCATAATGCAGCTCAAAAAGGAACCAAGTTAAGATCACAAGGGCAAGTGCATTCATTACTAAACCACATGTTGATTGCTTTTTTTCTAAAGATAGCAAAACACATTTTCATAATGTCCTCCTGCCAAAGCCCTTGTTCTGAAGTACAAAATGATTGCTTTGTTCTCCGGTTCTTGTTTACGTGACATGGGAAGATCATGTCAAAAAAATATTTATTTTTCCATTTCACTCTCAAAAACAGTTGAACCAATTGAAAATTAATTGAGCTCCAGATCAAGTCAGACAAGTGCTAGAAAAAAAAAAAAAAAAGTATCGATCTAAGAGGTTAATACTTGGCCAAGTAATAAGCAGCTAGGATGGGGATCTTCCTAGGACTTGGGATCCTGTACACTGTTGGGAACCCTTGAGACCATTCAACAAGATCTAACAGAGCAAAACATGTCCTTTTTTGCAGTAGCAGCAGTGATGGCAGGGAAGCACCACATCCATGAATTTTCTCTAATATAGAGGGCAATTCCACTGACTTGAATGCAGAAACAGTATGATGAGAAGTGGAGTGTTATTCCACCTTCACCCACTCGGAAAAAAACTTTGCTAAACCTCCCTTGTCCTGCTGCTCAGCCCCACAGCTATTATCAGCCAGCAAGGGCTCTGCTGCAGAGCATTTCCTGCAACCTGCTGCTGGCAATGTACTTGGTGAAGTGCAAACCCTGTGAGCAGGTCTTACAGCTAACATATGGTTCCAGCACTAAGAAGTAGGGGTCCCACAGCCCACAGGCAGAAAACGCTGCCTCTTCCACCAGAATGTTACATCCCACACATCCGCAGCGAGCAGAGAGGAGACAATCTGGTATCTTTTTCACTTGAAATCATTAATGATTCATTCTGAGTCACTGGTGGGAAATTCCATAAATAGGACGTGTACTTAGCTGCTGGCTAATAACAATGCCTCTTTGTTTTTCTTTATGGCTAGGCACATTTTCTCTTTCTGGAAGAAGCACCCATAACCTGTACTTTAAATGAAAACAAACTGATGCTCCGTAGCACAGGCTGAAATTTTCAAAATCGTCTATAGAGAATTAGGTGCTTGCTTCTTGATGAGCTCCTAATGGAAATTAGGCACTGCAATTGTTCAGCAAGTGCTGAAGTTCTCAGCCTGTGTTACTGAGAAGAGAATAGGAAGTCTGACTTTACCATTTGCTTTCGAAATATTCCTGTGTGACATCTTTTCTAGAAAGAAGCAGCTGCAGTCAGAGGCCCGCGCACGCTAGCTCCTCGCTGCACTCTTCTCAGATGGAGCCCTAGCTTCACTCCAGTTAACGGAGGCTTCTTTCAATACCATCAGCACTGCTAGCATTTCAGCACTTCTGCTTGCAGTTTTCTTTTGTGGGTTTGATTCAGGCAAAATAATAGTAATAATGCTCTCAGGGAAGAAAAAAAAAAAAAAAACACAACAAACATCTGTGAAGAGCATGACATAATACACACCAGCAGCGCTCTAAATGCACGTGGGAGGTATCTTCTCAAAGCAGAGTCAGAGCTAAAAATCTATTCAAACAGAACCTAAGTCAGATTTCTGCCTAAATTTAGACATCTGAGACCAGTTCCTAGGCTGACACAAAGCGGAGCAGCTCAACAGAGCAGCACAGACCAGTTTATAGCCACTCAGGATCTGACTGTATATCAAAGGTGAAAAGAGACCAAAGGAAAGCTAGCGTGGAAAGGATCACAAGGGTACAGTAAGGTTAGAGAAATGCCCTTCCTCACACATGGATCTGGCTAACAGAGGAAAAAGAGTGATCCTTGCAGAGTGATGAGAATTTGATCCAGGGCTGCAGTGTAACAGTCAAGGAAATAAAGCAGCGGGGTCATCACATGGAGCTGAACGCCTCACACAAGAAAGGCAAGCATGTGTCAGCCAAGAATTCCAATCAAACAGGGAAAGAAAGAAAAAGAAAGACTGAAGATTGAGTTATATTGAAAAAAAGACCACATTCTCCCTGCTACCAAATACAGCCTGCAATTTGTTTCAAAAGCATACATGTTTGTCCATTCATTTTTTCTCCATCTGTGAAATACTTAAGTTCAGTTTGTTGCTGTTTAACCAGCAGAGAAAACATTTTCAGCTTCACATAAGCGCACATAGATCAATAGGAGTTTTTCAAAACTGCAACACCTCACATATTGCCTTCACAGGAGAAGTTATTCGCTAGTTCAACAGCACGGAGCTGTCTTTCATTAGGGCTCTGGCTCTGCCTTGCCTATTGAAGTGCTTACTTAAGTCCTGGCCAGATTGCTCATACACAAGGACTCAGCCTCAATATATGCAGAGAACAGCACTCCCTGTAACGTGTACTTCTACCCTGCAACAAGAACCTGAAGGTAGCCACTACCATCTACATAGAACCTGTGGGGAAGGAGTTGGCAGGCATGAAATATTACCTGAAATTAATAAAACAGCAACTAAAGTCATCCAAGCAAAGACACTCATCAATCATCTAGAAACCCGTGCCCAACTCCAAGCACGTGCTTTAGGCCACTGAACTCAGGGAGGCAATCCACAGGTTTAAAAGCTAAGCATATGCCTAAAGATCTTTGTTAGGTCAATGCCTATAAATTCCTCCTTTTAAGTACTGGACACCACAGCAAATTAATAAAAAAAAAAATCATGTTTATGGCTGTGGGTATACTAATTACAGGACCAGACCTGTAACCTCCTAACACTACAGTCTAACTTTGGACTGAAGCCCTGTGTGTTTGCTCTCTCACCAAAGCAGGACCTTCTAACTACACCCACCTCACCCTGCATTGAGACATGTACAGAAAAGCAGCTTTGTTAGAAGGCAGCCAGAAATCAAAATGTCTGGAAAGGATCAACACCAAGGAGGAAAAGGAGAAAAAATGCTAGGAAGCACAGACCATGTATCACTGGTATGCTGTATTTTAATGTAAACATTCTCGAGTATGGGTGGGAAGTTACATTTAGTCTGCAGAAATATTTGTAAGTTACCCTACACGCAGCCATCATTATGTAGAGAGTTCGAACTTCTTAATACATTTCAAACCACTGAAGCCTTATTCTGATACATACACAATTCTGTTCATTGAACTTCATGATTTCACCTGTATTTACATATATATTTCATAACTCGATTTCAGCTATATCTCCCCAAAATCCATCCCTGCCAGCAGTATTTTATGAACTTTTTCAGTACTTCACAGACAGAAGCAAGGGCAATGCTTTTTTTTTTTTAATAAAAAATATTTTTGTTATTAAAGTATTTTCCTTTGTTTGGAATAACCACTGGAATAACCATTGGTTATTAACCATTTGGAATAACCATTTCTTCTTTTTAAATTAATTTATTTAACTTCTTTTTAAATCAGGATCTCACATATTATCTATACAGGTCTGTATCACAGTCATGCTGCCTTTCTTGCACGAGAAAAAATATGGTGTTCTGAACCACAGGAAGTAAAATATCATTTAAGATTTGGAATATACTCTCATCTGGCACCTAGATTTCAATGTGTCAGGAATCTACCTCAGGAAGCCTGGAACCCTGGAAGGAGAATCAAGTTTGTAATTAACTGCAGGGGAGTGCGAACCAAATGGCAAAATGAGGTCCAACAGGTAAAATTTTGAACCCTAAAAACAGAAGGGATTATACATAGTAAAAGATCCACAGAAACTATAGGAACAACAAGATATATAGGACTTATGTACAGCTCAGAGATGGCTTCCCTCACTTCATTCATTTGGTTTAAGAAATGTGATTAATTGTTTGCTGTAAAAGGAGAACAGGAATTGATAAATATGGGTTCTGATTCCACAGCCCTGTAACCCTGGCAGAAGTAGGTCTAGCAGTAGAAGCATTAGTTAACAACCTGCCACATTTCTGACAGTGATTTCCAGAGATTCATCAAGTCTGACAGGTTACCTTCGAAATTTCTTAATGAAGCTGACTGCTACTGCATGGCCTGTCCTATGACTTCTAGCATCAGGCAGCTTCCTGTGCCATTAGCAGAACGTTAGATGGATGGGATGCAAAAAAATTCTTTGAAGCATTACCTGTTCCTAGTGAAAACAGCAAGTATCTTTGCCACTGTATGGCCTACTATCATTCCAAAACTTACTTCCCTTTAGATAGTATTTTCCATCACCCAATTGTGCCAGATCTCTCTAAAACACTGTGCAGCCACATACAAGGTGACTGTGCAGGCTGACTGCACAATGAATTCTGTCTGCTGAGATTTAAAGGCCTGCATTCAGCTAGCAACTTTACTTAGAAAAATTACAGTATATCACAGTGGACTTCAGCAAGTTAATCTTTGTGCCCTTTCCTTCTCAGCATTACAGTGTAACAAACAGCACATTACCTACTGCTACAACAGCAGCTTTGTTGAAAGAAATTCTCTGGCCTAAGCTCATACATACTTTCTTTACACCTTAAATTGCCTATACCTTAGTTTCATTACAATATAGGCATTTTAAAGATACTTTAATAAAAATTACATGAGCTTTTAGTTATTTTTAAAAATCCCCCAAAATATCAAAAACACTACAGAAATGTCTTGTGGTGCAACCCCTTCAGATACCTGCCATAATAGTTTTTGCATTAGACATATGCATCAGAATCGTAGAAGGAAAAAAAAAATAGGATTGTTGCTTGAATTAAGAAATAAAAAAATAAATAAATCACATAATAGTACCTGAATTTTGTCCCTTGTTATGTACAATACAGAACAGAATTCACTTCAAACCTTAATTTTCCAATGCATGCCTTTCGGTTCCTTATTTTCCAGTATCACTGGTTCATTAACAGGGATTTGGCTCATATTTAATGCTAAAAATCAGCCAAATGGACTACCAGTTTGTGGGTGCAAGTAACTAACTGTTGTATAACACAACTGTATACAAGAATGATTCAAGCAGATGGGCAGCTGCAGACAACTTACTTACTCACTTTCCCTGGGCTCCATTTTATTTACTATTGCTATCCTGCTTCTAACAAGCATTTCACAAGCCAGAAATGCTTGAGAAAATTCCATCAAGTAGCTTGCATGATGCTCTCGGATCCTGCTATGCTGGCAAAAGCAGTTACCACTCCCCTTATTTGTCAGTAGCTGTTTATGCATCTAAATGCTATTAAACATGAAGAAGCCATTAAGATCTTAAGTCTTTTATGAAAACTGGACTTACACATCTATGATATTACTACATGATGACAAGGTAGATGATAAGATTATTTTCTACTAGCATGGATTTGCCGAGTTCTACATACACCAGAAAGTCAAACATTTTCTTGAATGTTTTCCTTCAATATCTGCTTCCCCACCCTGGGAAATGCCAAGTTTCTTTTTATAAATGTGCAGTTTCTCATAATCTCAGAGCTAAGGCCATCACTGCTCCCTAAACAATTCTAAATATTCACGAACTTCTCCTTTTATTCATATCACCTTACGAACTTAGCAAAATAACAGAGGATATTCTTACATCGTTTATTAAAGGAAATTAGAATATGATAAGATACAACCGAAAATTATAGCCACGTGTACACTGTAGCAATACTAGAGAAATCTAGACACTTCAGGGTACTGCAGGAAATAGCTACAGCTACTGCATAGATAACTATAGCCCACAATCAAAAACTAAATGCTGCATTGCAGCCCTTACCTCATTACATGAATACATTCTGGTTCCTTGGTGAAGCTGTAGGCGTAGCCACTGGATGTTGTGCCAAAATCAATAGCCACAACAACGAGAAATAACTGTTCTACAGCATCCTCTGCATCAGAGTCCTTCTGTTAAATAGCAGAAGCAAAACAAACGCTGAGTCATTGATTAGAATAACTGTAATCTGTTTCATCCTTCAGGATTTCTGCACTGCATACCTCTTCAAAGGAAATAAGGACTTCCCTAAAGCTGCATTTGTGAACAAAGTTGATGCCAAAAAGATCTATATTCCAGTCTAAGCAGAAATTTAATATACGATTATAGATTTACTGGAAGATATATCACAGATTGCTGGAAGATATTTTATACATTTTCTATTGAATCACAAGTTTGTCATATGCATTTCTTGGAATAGCTGCTATCCTCTAGCATTAAAACTTACGGCTAACAGCAAAACAAGTAACCTAGTGTTTTGTTGTTTGTTTGTTTTTTTTTTTCTTAAACTGAACAAGTGAAGGATATGTTTATATCCATCAGTGTATTATATCTGGGGCTTACTTAGTAGTTCTCAGAGTTATCTAGGTCATAACCTTGACCCTGAGATAATACTGCCATTCTGAAGTAGTAGAAGCAGAACCACCCAACATATAGCAATAACCTCTACATGCCACAATAATTACTTATCAATTAAGAATTTACAAAAAAGCTTCTTTTGGAAACACTGTTTCCTCCTGCCTGTGGTTGGATTGGAAAGTTGTTCAGCTGCTTATAGAAAGGAGGACTCACTATTCACTGTCTCTCCTTTTACCTGTAATCTTCCAATCCCTGAAAAGCACAGTCTGAGCCACTGTGGGAATGTTAACTAGGAAAAGTCAGTGGATCGTGGCCCAAATTGTAATGATGTGATACAAAGCATCATCTCAATTGTGCCACTCCCAGGTATGCTCATGTCTATCATAAATCCTACATAAAAAGGCAATAAGTAACAAAAAGTAAGAAACTGTTGTTCAAATGCTGGTAGTGGTTAAAGCACTAACAGCTCAGCATGCCAGGAAGAGAACAAGAAGCTGGAAATACTGGTGAAAGAGCTACGTGCTTCAGGCAGGCAGATGGTGAAGGAGGGTAGTACACCCACCCACACATGTACCATCTCGGCAAAACCACCGTGGAGCAGAACTGCTGACCCATAAGTATAGGGGACATGTTTGAATCCCCCACCACTGCTGTTCAGCCTGTACTCTCAGCAGTATTTTGAAGCAATTGGTATTTTTACAGAGGAACTGCCAGATGTCCCCTTTCTGTGAGCAGTATTCCACCATCTTCCTCACTTATGCCCTGTGTCTTTGCAGCTTCATGCCTACTACTTCCAGCATCTTTGTGTTGTACCCCTACATTTTCCACATCCTATAGGCCTGCTATTTAAAATGGAGAAAAGAGCATAATAAGGTTTGGTCTCTAATGATGGAAAAATTGTTTGGACTGTCCTAATAAATCTTTTCAACCAGAGCAATATGCATTTATAGGTCTTCCTCGAAGAGTTCAAGAAGCAAATCTAACTGGAAGAGGATGTCACATCATCAGCATGGTAGAACCTATGAGGTGGAAGTTTTACAGTGTATGGAGAAAGAAGGGAATGGAAACTAGATTTATGAACAAGAACTCAGGAAATCCCAAAGAAGGATGATGTACAATCTGAACATGATTCAGAAAGCTAAGAAAGAAATCTGATAAGGATAGCGATGTGTTCTATACATGATCTCTTGTGATATTAAGAAATATTCAGTGCATGTACTGTGATGATGCAGATGATCTTAAAAACAAATGGGACTCAATTTTAATGGGAGTTTCTCAGTGAAATTAACACAACATTTAAGAGATTAAAACACATTAAGTACATGGGATATTTGCTTGCACCTAAAAGCTTACAGAGGTGGCTATTTTCCTTAGTAAATTAGATCAGTTCTATTGTGAGCTTCATTCTCTCTCTGCTGGAAGAGATTCTTTTGTCTGGGAATCCAGATTCTACTACTACTGTATTGTATATATCCTTTTTTTCCAAACAAAATGAGTATTTTCAGGTGCTGCCTAAACAAATCAGTGATAAAGACAGGGACAGAATGTGAGAATGATGAGGATCAAGTATCCCCTCACTTTGATGTAAAAATATACAGGAACAAATCTATTAGGTCAACAAGTAGGCAAAAAAGGCAAAACCAGGACCCCAATGAAATGAATGGGAGCTCCATCACTAGCTAGGGACCAAAATTTAGCTTTAAACTATGGATAGCATAGAAGTGATCAGCGAGAGGGGAAATTACAGCCTTCCAGAGCAACTGCTTCCCACGGAACAGGCAGGAGAAAGTCATGTCAACAGAGAGAATATATTAGGAGCGCATTTCTTACCACAATATGTGATGGAGACAGTGGAGTTATTCCAGGATCTCCCAAACTTTTGGCTGGTGATGAGTAAGTAGATGTGGAAACAGCATCTGAAAGTAAACAAAAATTCTTCAGTGTCCATAAGCAGAAGAAGTAGGATAGGATAGTTGGCTTTGCATACCGCTACCCATTTTTCCCATTATATCATATCTACTGAAAAAGAAAGCAAATTCCACAGCCTCCTCATAATTTTATTTTTTTTTCCCCTTAGAACATGGTAAGAGCAAACTGCTGCTTTGCTTTTACAATGTTTGGCCTTCCTGACTAACTCCCATTCTTTTGCCTCTTAAATCACCATGTATAATTTCAAAAGCCTTCCTAAATATATTGAGAAGTCAAAGTTGATACAAATGGCTTTAATACCATACACTTACATTAATAGCCTAGGATTTATACATGTGAATGCAGAAACTAAACACAAGTTGAGATAAAAAAAGACTAATGTGAAGAAAAAAAGAGCAGTTCATATCAGTTTAACAACCCAGTAGGAAGAAGTTGCAATTATTCCTTTATGAACCTTTAGTCTTTAACCTTCCTAATACTGTCTCTGTTTTTATTCCTCAATACGCTCTGCACAGAAACATTTTGCAGCTGTTAGTATTACTGCAGGACAGAACCCAGCTGGGAAAAAGGAAAGTATTATTAACAAATCATCAAAGAAATATTTCTATCCTGCACACAATACTGAAATTTCATTTAAAGGAACATACCAAATAAATGACAAACGTATTTTTCTTTCTTACGTTTACCCCATGATGACAGAAGATGAAATAGTTTAGTAAAATAATTAAGCACTGATGACTCAGATGATTTATACCTAATATAATCTCATGAAAACTGCCAAAACTTATCATCGCAATAAATATTAAGCAGCACATTTCAATATATTTTTATCCAACGTAATTCTAGGTTGGAAAGTACACAATGAGATGTGTATTTAAGGATGGCAAGGAATTCCTAGGCACAGGACTGTCAAGTCAGAGCGTTAATCTAAGATGACACAGGAGCTGCCCTGCAAGAAAAGACCTTAGGGCTACTTCATGAAGAATCCTGTTGTTCCTGGTAATCAAACATCTGGCTTTCCAGGGAAGATGCAAAAATTTTGCAGTAGGCAACTGCAGGATAATCACTGGAAAAGTTTCCTCCAAATCTTAATATTGCTCTTGAAACAATATTTACTTCTATTCAAGTTCTAACATGTCTGCACAGTTTGGTATTCAGAATCACTTTACAGAAGGAGAACATTCACATTTCCTATGCAAGTTCGTCAAGAGTATAGTACATTACCCCTTTTGTGGTAACGCACAGAAACCCACAGTCAGCACAGAACCCGCTTGTGACAGCACAGAGTCTGCTGGGCTCATTAAGCTCTATTTGGATCAGATGCTGCTATCAGCTTCCTTATCCATTCGTACAATTTCCTCCTCTTTTCAAAACCAGATTCGTTTCTATACCATCAACGTGGCATTTTTCTTAGAACTGAAGAACAATATTTCAGGAAGGAAAAAAGAAAAAGAAAGAAATAGTAATAAACAGGTTCCTTGCATCCTGCTGTCTTTCCTGACTGGATCCGAACCAATACTTTCTGAGGAGGTCAGGACATTGCAGTGTCAGTGCTGACTCAGCACCTCTGCAACATGGATCTTAGGATTCTGTCTTTAGAGGACAAAAATGTAGATATCAAATCACTACCTGCATTTTCATTATTCCTCTTTGTTACTAGGTTTTTTTTGTTACCTGTTTCAGCGATCTATTTTCCAGCCTGTCTTCAGTTATCAGCCTTCCCTGGGTGTACCTTGCAAAACTATTTATAGCTCTGTATGACACTCAGAAAATCCCATGTGGCAACATACACATTTTTTGGTCTCTCAGAGAGCAGCGATTAAACAACCACTGTGACGTTCACATTCAGTCAATGACAGCACACTAAATTGGGTGGAGCTCTGTCAAGAATTTATTTGACCCAATTAACTTGTGATTATCCAGAAGTAGAAAAATGTATACAAAGACACTTGCTGTATCCACAAGTATAAAAATATTTGGCAGCAATGAAAATGTACTAAGCAGAAACCAGAGGGCTGTCTTTGCTACCCATAGAAAATAACACTTTAAAAAAAGACTCAGATATTTTCATCCAAAATCTTTAAAATAAGTTGTTTTGAGTTTCAGAATGCTCTTGAAAATTTATGCATAAGGCTGAATTTGTAAAAAAACAAACAAACAAAGTTAGTCTTTCCAATTCTCAACAATTGCTCAACTCTGCTGGAAAGTTAAACTCTTTGTGATTTATTAGTATTTTTTCAACAGAAAAAAAAAGAAAGATATTTCCAAGAACATGACCATTCTGCACTAGTATTCACTGTTACACTTCATCTAAGTCATACGCCACTCCCGCAAATAAGAATAATGTCAGCTCCTGCTAAACAAGAATTCTGCAATGAGTCCTACACCTCACCAACCTGGAGCTTTGTTGGATCAGGAGAGGAAAACCATGCTACAACTTCTTAGGCAGCAAATTGGAATTTTAACCAAGACATACTATTACAGTGATTCTGCAGAGTTGCTATCATTTTGGCACAAGCACCTGTCACATTACACTGCACCAGTTAAAATTATTTGATATCATTTCATAGCACCACTAGTTAATCACGTGCAATAACAAGGGCAACGCTAATTGTTGTAACTCTGCTGTCAAAAGAGGTCCTGACACTACCAGAGCTTGCAGAGCCACCAACTGAATGAACGCAGTTCCAAATACTAGGAAGTTAAAAAGTCATTTACCCAAGTGGTTGGCATTTTCAGAAAATGCTTGCAGGCCAACTACCCTGGATGTAATGCCAAGAGTTCTTCTAACGAGTAGCAAAAAAGTTGTGAAAGCACATGAAATTAGGAAATGTTTGTACTATCTACCCTATCTAAAGAGAAAGGTGTTAAAATAAACTTGGGCGTGTGGGAGCATGTGGTGAGTTAGCATTTGCTTGGGGGGGGGAAGAAATGTGTGTCATAGAAGAGCAGTACTGCTGGAATATTCCAGCAAGAGCTGGATATTTAAAAATCTCTTATTTCTAAAGAGATGGGATTGGCTAATCTAACAGAAAGCCAGAGAACAGGTAAAGGGTTGCAAGGAACCTGATTCAAAATCATGTAAGAAAAGGTCTAGTCTCTGGGAGTAAATGCCTCTTCTTGGCATTTAAATAAATAAATAAATAAATAAAATTATGTCCTGGACAGTATCACAGTATTTGGAACAGTCCCTAAAGGCAGAATGACTTATTGAGGCTGATTTAAAGAAAAAAAACCCACAATCATGTCCTGCATAGCTCAAGTTCCAGCTTTATCTCCTGTGTTGACCAAGGATCGCTATCTGTGCCAAACTACACACCATGAAAGGATATATAGCTAAATAACACGTGATAAATAAACGTTTAATTCTTGATAATTTGCAGGTTGCAATAAATGGAGGAACCTGATTTAGAATCCAAATTAAGTCTTCAAATACTTATAGCACTATTTAAACTGATCTAAGATATGATGCAAACTTTTTGAACAGAAATTCTTTCATTTACTTATGTACAAAAGTATGAGCACATCATTGCTTGTAAACATTACCTTGAAATACAACTGTCTATATCAGGGGGTTGGATAGCTTAACTAAACATGTATAGAATGAATTTGACCATGTCATGGCATTTTCTGACTTCAGTTACTTCAGTTCTAAGCAATTGCCTGAGAATGTCTTGTGCATTTTCAAGTTGAACAGCAGAGGAAGGGAAAAAAGCTGTCTGTCTTTTTCAGCACTTTTTTTTTTTTAACCATTCAAAAGGTTCTTTCTTATTTCCAAATCCCCTAACGCTTAGAGAACTGGTAAAATTATGGGATTAGCAGATACAGTATTAATAATGAATTATATCCATTATCACATTAGTTGCAATTGCTGGTTTAGCAGATTTAATTTAAAATATTCCTTCTTTTCATCTAAGCACAAGCAAGAGTTTATTTGCTGTGGTTTCCTGCAGCAGCTAATCAGTTTAGATTTTCCTGTTTCTTGGTAAATGATCAGCCACTTTCTAAGTTTTCCAATGCCACTAATGACAAAATGCAACAAAGGACTGATCTTTAAGTACCGCAGAATGTAGTCAGTAAGAGCAAATTTGACAAAATTAATAAAAACTTAGCTGAACATTTCCACTGATAACATGTCCAGCTGAGTCTGATTTACTAACAGATCTAGAGATCTAATAGATCTAGAGGACCAAACTCATTGTTTCATTAGAAAAAACAGTTGATGGCAGGTGGTCTTCTCTGGAAGACTATCAGTCTATCCTGCCTATTTTGGATCCCCTTCAATGTGTTCTTGTTCAGAACCAGATAGATGAGTTTTAGTAATTCACTCAAACACCACACAGAAGATTGCTGTGGTCCCAGACAATCAGTTTTAAGGCAGAAAGCTTAAACCCGCATTAAGAAAAACAGCTGCTAAACATCACAGTCGCAAGGCAATAAGTCGGCACTACAAGTTTTTTCAGCAGCTACACAAAATGTATACTTTCATTAAAGTAACTTTTTATTAAATATTCAATTTTGTAAAATTCAGCAATGCCATGCATCAACAAGATTTTCTGCTTCAAATGTTAGGGAAATTGTTGATGGATTCACTGACAACAGGTGTCCTGCAAGCCAAGTAACATAGTAAAGTTTGGTAAGTGTGCATTCTCTCTAGGTAAGAATTTAAGAAATTAAGAATTTAAATAAAACCAGCAATTCAGCAATGATATGCTGCTAAACAGCATGAAGCACAGAAATCCAGCCAGGACAGAAAAGAGGGGAAATGTTTGAGCATGTCTCATGTCACTAGTTTATTATATGGAAAGGAAACAAAAATAAATAAATAATGTATCAAGCCTCAAGTTTTCCGTCAGAAACCCCAGCGTGGTGGACCTTTCCAGGCATGCTATGCAGTAGAGTTATGGCTACAAAAGAGAAAGCTTGGCTGGGAAGAGAAGTGCACTTGCTGAACACTTTCACAGAGCTCACTTCCAAGGGAGGGTGA